AAATTGCCAGATCTGCAGGCAATTAAATGGACATCTTGATCTACGTGATTATCAAAGGCAATAAAATTGACATCTAACGATTTACATAACTGATCGACGGCAATAAAATGGACAAAATAATCTTTATAGAAGATCTACATGGCAATAAAATTGACTTTCTATTCTACCGATTAAATCTATCTAAAATTTTACCTGTCACAACGTTTAGGATTTTTAAGCATATAATAAAGTTGAGAGTAAAGATTTTCTTGTTAAATTAAAATTAGTTCATTCCACTAAAGGTCATTAGTTAAATAATTCAGATTCATATTTAGTTGAATTTGTCTTAGACTAATCCAATGATATAATGATATTCAATCATTCCATATGGTAAATTTCTCTTACAAGCCTTGCAATATATATGGATATGATGATTTTTAATGTCACAATTATAATTACATTGTGATCCTCCTTTAGTTATTAGTTGATTAGCTATAACTTGCTTAATCTTGATATTTTCTTTAAAAATATCTTTCAATTCATTTTTAAGGCATTAATATTCTACAGTAATTAAAAGTACATGAAAGTATTGTGACATTATTTTTTCTTCAAAGTCTATTTCTTCTTGTGATCATTCTGATGAAGTTTCACTATTTTCAGAAGAAATGTACCATTCTATTCCTTCATTATTATTTTTGTTTGTTGTGAGCATAAAAATTTCTTTTAAAGAATTATCCTATTCTTTTTCAGGGATTAATCGAGATAATGCATCAGCATTAGCATTATTTTTTTTAGGCCTGTGCTTAATACTAAAGTCATATTGTTACAATTCCATTATCTATCGTGCATGTCATCCTTTTAGTATTTTTGAAGTTCTCAACTATTTGAAGGCAAAGTGATCAGTTATGACGGTAAAGGATTATAGCTAAGATAATGATGAAAATTCCTAATAGCCCAAACTACAGCTAAACATTCTTAGTCTGTAATTAAATAATTTTGCTTAGCTTTGTTCATATTTTTGCTCACATATGCAATAACATGTTCATTTTTATTATCATCTATTTGAGATAATACTGCTCCAAGTCCTACTCCTGAGATGTCAGTATAAAGTATAAATTCCTTAGTGAAATCAGGGTATTGAAGGATTGGTGATGTAATTAATTTCTCTTTTAATTTGTTAAAAGACTTTTGTTGATCATTTGTCTAAATATAAGGAGCATTTTTCTTTAATAAGGTTATTATTAGTTTAGCAATTTGAGAGAATCCTTTCACAAACTTTTGATAATATGAGAATAATCTAAGGGCTGCTCTTAATTCTGTTAATTATTTAAGGACTGAAAATTCTTTAATTTTTTGAATTTTTTCAGGATCTGGTTGCAAACCACCTCTTCCTACAATATATTCAAGGAACAGAGTGTTTGGAAGGTAAAATTGACACTTTCAATTTAATCATTAAATTTGCCTTTCTGATTGCTTCGAATACTATTTGCAAATATTGTAGATATTCTTTATATGTTTTGAGTAGATGATAATATCATCTAAATATACTATTACAAACTTATAGAGGTATTCTTGTAGGACAAAATTCATTAAGCATTAGAAGGTTTCAGAAGCATTCTTTAATCTAAAAGGCATTCTTTTGAATTCATACAGACTATATAGGCAGATAAAAGCAGTTTTCTCATAATCACTCTCTTCTATTTCTATTTGCCAATATTCACTAACAAGATCAAAAGTAGAAAACCAACTTGTATTTCTAAATTTCTCAAGTAAATCATCAATAAGTGGAAGAAGATAAGCATCTTCTTTGGTTATAGCATTAAGTTTTCTATAATTAATACAGATGCATGTATCTCCAGTTTTCTTAGATACAATAACAACTAGAGAAACCTAAGGACTTTTTGATTTTTGGATAATGTCATTTTCTTTCATTCTTTTGATTTCATCTTGAAGAAATTTTAGTTTTACAGGATCCTTTAATCAATATGCAGAACTAGCGATTGATTTATGATCTCCTGTAGAAATTTGATGTTGAAATAAGGTTGTATGAACAATTTTTGTTTGGCTTAGAGCACAAATATCTTTATTTTCTTTGATAAATTGCTTAAAGGATTCTTGTTGGTTAATATTTAAGGGCCTAACATGCAATCAACTTGAATACTCCATTCATTATTTTGGGATTTTGTTTGTTTAGATTGAGCTAAGAATACTATTAGATTATCATTCTAAGGGTTAGCAAATAGTTTTTTTTCATCAAACTCAAACAGATTTTCTTTATTAGAAATATTTTCTTCATTAAAGGTATTTTCTTCACTGTGAAAATAGAAAATATCCATTTTGTCAAAATTCTCTTCTTCATATTGATCATATATTAAATTTTCAATCGCATTAATTAATTTATCTATAGAAGTATCAGATTCTTCATCTAATTTAACAGAAGAACTATCGCAGAAAATAATTGGAACTGAAGCTGATTTTGTAAGATATCTGAATTTCACTTTTTTTTCATTAAAATTAAGAATAACTTTAGTTCTTTTTGAACTAATCTGTTCCTAATAATAAATTTTCATCAGGTAATTCAATAACTTGCAAAGTTAATGGCATTCAAATAAATCTAATCGTCATCTTAACAGTATTTTTATTTCTCAGAGCTATTGCTCTTTTTTTATTTACTGTGTTGATAATAATCTTAGAAGGTTATCAATTTTTAAATGAAGTCACTTAACTAAATTACTCGTAATAATATTAATAGCTGCATCTAATCAAGAATAACTTGTAATTTACTATGATTAATTTGAATAGTATACCTAACAGCAGTTGTAGGCATATCATCATTATCACTCACATATTTGTCATCAAGGTTAAAATTTATTAGTTTCTTTAATTATGTTCATTATAACGCATTAGCTAAATTTCTCCTTTAATCTAGATATTTTAGCTATTGTCTAAGTTTCACAGACGAAAGTAAGTTGAGAATATCTTCAGCAATATTATAAGAAGCTAATTGGTTAATAGCAGAAGGAGTGCGTGGTATTTTTCTTCAATATTTCTTAACCTTTGAAGTTAGAATCCCTTCTTCAAAATTCATCAAAGTAGTGAGAGAGATTGGTTTAATTACATTCCTATTTCTTAATCTCATTTCTTGTTGAGATTTAAAGTCTTTTTACTTCTTTCTTTTACTTCTCTCCTATTAGTAGTATATGAAGTGACTCTTATTTTTAGAGTAGCATAGACTTCTTCATAATCTTCTCCCTCATTTTCTGAATCAAGATCAGAATAAACTTTGACTATATTTGCATTCTTTCTTTTTTTAGGAAGTAAGTCACATTTTCTAGAGTAATGATCTTTTTTTTGACAATTAAAATAAGTAATTTGAGATTTATCTAGTTTTTGATCTGTGGTTCTAGATCTCATTTAGATTTGAATATTCAAGGCTAAAACAATATTAGCATAATTAAGAGTTAGCTTTTTCATTTGTTTTGTTAGAGCTTTAAGAGCATTATCTGTGAAAGCTTTAGCTCTTTGATCTACTTGACATTCCTGTCTTTTAGCTTGTCTTTCAAAATAAACTCCAGCCTCATAATCAATAGCCTCTTGAATTGCTTTATTAATATCTATAGGTTTATTAGCAGCAACATATTACACTAAATCCTTTTTTAATCCCTTTAAGAATAACCTAATAACATAAAGTTCTGGAAGATTACTATCAGGATCTACCTTTTTCCTTAATCTCTTAAATCTATTAGAGTACAATTCTACCTTTTTATCCCTTCCTTAAAGAATATCACTAAGTTCATAATACTATTTGTTTTGTTGCTAAATCGTAAAGAAATGGTTCACGAATTTAAATACAAAGGTCTTAGTGTTATTTTCATCTTCTTCAACTCTTCAACCTTGAGCAAATATAATATCTTTGTACCAATTAGCAGCTACATGATTGAGGAATCTTCCAGCAATTTCAACTATTCTTTCATTCATCTAGTTGTTAGCCTTTGTGGCTTTCTCAAAATAAGCAATCTAATTAGATAGATCTTCTTCACTTTTTTTCTGAGAAGCATTTTATAGGAACTAAATTGGTTTTCCTTGCAGGTGGTCATTATGCTGGTCTGTTTTGGACCTGCTGAGTGAGTTGATTAATAGAGGTTGTGAGTTGCTTAACGAAAGCATTAAATTGATCTGCGTCCATTATGTTTCTTCTTGAGGGTTCTAATGAGAGGGTACTAAAAGTTGTAATTCGGTTGCTATAGGGCATTCAAAGTTGACTGAATAATAAGATTCTTCTAATATATGAATAGCAATGAAGTCAAAATCAAATCCAAAATCAAAAGGGTTAGCGAAGGTTACGCTATATAACAGCAATTTAGCTTCTCTTTTAAGAGTTTTAATGAGCTGTAATTCACTAAAATGTTGTCGATACTGATCAAACAAAGTTACTGTTTTTCCAGTATATAC